CTCTGTAAACATTTCTCCTACATATTATCGATAGGAGCTATTTCAGGAGAGTAACCTTTAACCTCTTAGTCAGCTGTGAGAAGTGGCCATGTTTTCGAACTCAGCCCTGGCCATGTTCACCTGCCTGAAGCCATCTTTGTAAACAACCTGATGGAATAAACACTTTCACTCATACATCACTGGGGTAGGGGGGGTTAATGGCCACCAGATTGGAAAATAGAAAATAATTTCATGAACATTACAAAGAGCTAAACTGCAAAATCATGTGTGTGTGTGTGTGTGTGTGTGTGTGTGTGTGTGTGTGTGTGTGTGTGTACTATTGTTTTTTTTTTGTGTGTGTACTGTGTGTGTATGAGGGTGTGTGTAATGTGTGTGTGTGTGTTTGCGTTTGTACTGTGTGTGTAATGTGTGTGTGTGTGTGTGTGTACTGTGTGTGTGTGTGTGTACTGTGTGTGTGTGTGTACTCTGTGTGTGTGTGTGTGTGTGTGTGTGTGTGTGTGTGTGTGTGTGTGTGTATGTGTACTGTGTGTGTGTGTACTGTGTGTGTGTGTGTACTGTGTGTGTGTGTGTATGTGTGTGTGTACTGTGTGTGTATGAGGGTGTGTGTAATGTTTGTGTGTGTGTACTGTGTGTGTGTGTGTACTCTGTGTGTGTACTGTGTGTGTGTGTGTGTGTGTACTGTGTGTGTGTGTGTGTGTGTGTGTGTGTGTACTGTGTGTGTATGAGGGTGTGTGTAATGTCTGTGTGTGTGTTTGCGTTTGTACTGTGTGTGTGTGTGTGTGTGTGTGTGTGTGTGTGTGTGTGTGTGTGTGTGTGTGTGTGTGTGTGTGTGTGTGTGTGTGTGTGTGTGTGTGTGTGTGTGCGTGCGTGTGTGTGTGCGTGCGTGTGTGTAAACCTCAATTCCACATTCTACTGTACCGGGTGTAGATGATTGAGCTGTGATGACCATGTTGTATACAGCTGTGAGTACATCAAGACACATTGCCTGTGTGACTACACACACTATACATTACGTCAATCTCCTCACATCAAAACACAACATCAGCAAACTCCATACACACAGGGGAGTCAGCACCAATACTGAGAAACAAAATCTCCCATAAATATCTTATATTCCATTACAGTAATAAATAAACATCTCATCCCTTTGCCGTAGGAAGCAACAGTAGGCAGTAACAACAGTATTGACCCTGTGGCAGTTGTAAACCGTTACGATGGTAGTACTACAACCTCCACATTACACAACTGCTCTCAATTCCTCGGAGTGAATCTCCCACCGTGCTGAAATACACCAGATTAGCCTTAGAAATGCGGGTCAAGATTTTTATGACACTAAACAAGGAAATCTTCAAATTATTTGATATTATCAAAATGCGTCACAAACATAACAACAGTCATCCTAAAGCTATGGCATTTTAGGAAAATATTTTTAGGTTTAAATTAAATTGTCTCTTAATACGTAATAGAAAATAGCCCGGAAATGCTCTTTGAAACTGAAGAAATCTAGACTTGCCTGGGTTTTAGGATATATTTGTTCTGGGTCTGTACAAGAGACTAGCAGTAGTAAGTTGGGCCTTGTATTCCCTGACACAAATTAAAAATAATTAATGATTATTAAAACATAATGATGATCTGATTTTCAACTCACATAGCTATAGGGCTTAATGAAACAGCAAAATGTGTCTTTCAATAAGATTCATATCAGAATCATTCCATTAAATGTTTTACTTTTAAATTGGTTGCCAGGCTAATTTTAATTTTCTTTCTAGTTTTAGGGATTCTTAAAGCCATCAAGCAACATGTCAAAGAAATGGGTTAAAATTACAAAGAATATTACTCACAAAATGCCTGTTCAGCAGAGAAACAGGAACATGTTTCATTTTCCACAAAAATGTTTTGAATTATTCTGAATATTCAGTGCAACAAGTATTGGCTTCTTTAATCTTCATTTTAACAACATGGAGGGTACGTCCATCCTTAAAATAAGAAAAAAACAATTAGTTTTGTTTAAAGGAAATCTAATATTACCCCGTGAGCATGTGAGGAAGATGTGACTGGACTGTGCATTCAAATGTAAGACTTTCTTGTAGATTCATGTTTCATAAACTAAACACTAATTAGACTTGATTGGCATAATCAATTCAGGTTGATGCTAGCTGGGAAGGAAAAAACATAAAATGTCACACCTCATTAACCCGATGTAATTTGGGTTATCATCGCAGCACTCAGTGAAACATTTAAGTTGGGTACACCATTTTGTCCTGTAAACAAGAGGGGTGTCGGAAATGTAAAAGGCATTTTCTCAATTCTTTTGACAACATGCTCACAGTCTGAAGAGTATGTTACGCTTCTCCGAGCAGATCATCCAGGTCATAGAGAGCCAATGGACTTGGAGAATGCCCTCATGAAAAGCCGAGATGAAACCTTTCATCTCGCTACATAAGTGAATATCCTCAGGTACGATGGTAAATTGAATACTGCTGCAATACCCTGCCAACACAATGTCCCTCACAACTACCTCAAAGTAACAATTTTCATCTGACTCACCATCCAGGCAACGGTATTGTTATGGGATGTATTTTAATTATATAAATTTAATATGCAACAATGCTTCTTACAAATATACTTGAAGTTTTTGCCGTTTGTCAAATGATCCAAGGCAGATATTATGAGATCGTATCTACCAGACGAAGATTTACAATGGATATTTAGCACCTGGTTTACCCAAGACGAGGATGTCAGCCATGCCTTGAGATAAAACAGCTGGAGTCACACTGAAGCCTTATATCCATCAGGCCTCCTCTACAAGTGGCACTGTCGATTTCCTTCATCCAACGGTATTCTCACTCTATGTGAAGCTATGTGTGGGAAGTCAAAGAAATAACACGACATTCAACTTATCCCAGGACATGTTTTTGCTCTGTCCTCATTACCTTCAATACCTAAGTCTTTCCTTCAAATTTGAACTTAACACAAAGGATTTATTTACATGAAAAATTATTCTAAGATATTGAACTGTGCAATAATATTTTTCTGAACAGTTCATTATTGTCATACCCTCAAAAGAAAAATCATTCTAAGTGTTATTTACTTAAAACAGGAATTGAACAAGTATCAGCTGCAAACATATTTGTAAAAATACCTGACAGGCAAACATTAAAAAAAAGAATTCCTCAAAATAATATTTCGTAAATATTAACCCAAAATATTATTGAAAATTGTACTCAACGTGACATTCTTAAAAACAGGAAGCAAATGTCTTTTATCTACATACATTTTAATATACGCTTCATCAGTTTGATTATTAATATTAGTCATTCATAGAATCATTCATGGACTTGGGCCAGCATCCATCGTGCCATCACACACCAGATACCATCCTGGCTGGATATTTAATTTAGCAGCAGCATCAATGGAATAAAATTCAAAACATCAAAAGGCCAAATATCTGCACAAAAATCCCAAGCAATATTTTTTGTGCATACGTAATTACCTGCACTCTGCCAGGAGCCTGGGAAAGAGATAGGCTAGTACAACACAGTAGCAATTTAAACCACATCATTGCTACTAAATATAAGCCAGCGTTTTTCAGAGAAAATTAGTTTCAAGGATGTTTGTTGAATTTACAAGAATCCACACTCGAGGAATTCCTGCAATTGTTCATTATGGCATAAACATTCTCAAACCTTCCAAAACCCTTCCTCAAAAAGTTACCATAATTCATTTTATGTATTTTAAACAAATAAAAGAATTCACAGTTGATAATTAACAGGGGGAAGTTATGATTCTTGAATATTCAGCCAACATGCTGACTGTGGAGACAAACACAGTCCACTAAACACGACATCAAAAGAATTTCAATTCTGCTTTAGTAATGGAATTAATGATCATCTGATATGAAAACAGAGGTCAGGATATTATGCAGGGGAGCATACAAGATATTATCTGGCACTTAGCATAGTTTTGCCACGGCCTGCCTGGTAGCAGTAATATGAACATGGAGGATATACACACATCACAAGTATTGAGTTACTACTGAAAGCCTGGAGCATAGACTAAGACTGTACAAAGTTCAGTCACCTGTTGTTTACAAACTCAAAACTAACCGACATGATGAAAGCTTTTGAAAATCAACATCAATACACACACTTATTTCTTGTGTTCAACAGAAGTAGAACTTTCAAAACCTTATAAAATGATAAATATTTAATTTTAGACTGAAGAAGGTACACATTGATATTATTTGGATTAATATTAAGTCATAAGGAGAACATTATATAATTACCTCACGAAGTCAAAATTGTTTTTTAAATGAAAATAAACATAGGAATATATTAGAAATATGCTAGTATATATTCAAAAGCGAGTATGTATTAAATAATGTTCCCAGGATCCCTCCACACGCGCGGTACAAGACGTTGGTGTTCAGTAGTGCACTCAGAGTTGGGTCACCGAGGTAGTGGGTACCTGCAGCAAGGACGGTACAAACTCCTCCATATAAACATCTCCCGTAATCTCCTCCTATCTCAAATAATTGGCCATAAAAATTAGTTTATCTTAATGTCTGTAATAACTTGATTAGGACTGATTTGATTAGACAAGATTCATTAGATTTGACAAATTGTATAATTGGTAATTATGATTTTGTATTAATGCTACTTGTCATTCTTGGTAACATGAATTTATTCCTTGACAGACTGCATCTGCTGGTGTGTTAGGTAGAGCCTCAGGTTGTCCACACAGGGGCAGTTTACTTACGCATGGAAGTTACTATAGTTGGAGGAACACGGGATTCTGAAGCACTCTTGAACATGCTGCTCAATTTAGTTGACTCATGTTGATTACAAATTACCCCATGACGGAGTACAGCAGTGGCACTATTTTTGTGTCTAACCGAGGGAAAAGCAACATGCATATCTACATACCAATCAATACTTCATCAATGCTTAGTGAGTATCAGAATGAGTTTCGACAGTGTACAGGGCTCATTACCAACTCACCATCAGGAGAACTGTCCATTTCGATCAATAAGCAGGCTTCAACACCAGCAAGGCACAAACTTTCCTCCCGAATTTACATCCAAATCACCTATTACACAATTCACACATATACCATCAGTATCCACAGTTAGTAATCCAAAGTTCAAAGGGAATGAGGCGAGTGTTGGATACGCAGTACTTCTTGCCGCAGGATGGCGAGTACCAAGCAGCCTCTGTACTAGCCTGGTAAGGTAGGATCAAGGTGAGAAGTATCTACTCTTCTGAGAGTCTGACACTATGAGTAATGTTTAGCTGCCCCTTTCCCTCACACAGGGTAGTCGGACTGAGCTAACGTGCTTCTCGCAACCCAACTTCCTTGAGTGGGATATCTCCTCCGACCTCCTCAGTATCAGTCTATCGTATTTAAAGAGGCTTATTTAATCGGGTGATCTTTGAACTCATCCCTGACAAAACCCAACAGAATCTGATCCGTGGCTCAAATAGCAGGACAGTCACTTGGAAGTTCTGACAATGCTGTCCAGGCAGCCAGTGAGAGAAGGATTTCTCTATCCAACTCTCGGCTTTGTGTAACGGGAGACTCTCACAATCTACTCCCCAGCATGTATTCTACAAAGCACATCTACAAATACTAGCTAAAACCATAGGGTGGCTGTGGAGTCCTCTAGCCTTGCCACTGGGGGTGAGGATGGATGGCTTGTGTGTATCCCTTCCCCATAAACAGATCCCTCAGGCTATTTGGGGGGCTCAATGGGGGGAGCTCCCAGGCATGAAATAGAACATTTTGTTGTAGCACAGTAAGATAGTTCGGACAATGCCCTTCCGCTTCTTGACATGATATGGGTGTTGCCATACATTTCTCTTTATTAATTGACATGCCTTAATCCTTAGCCTGTGTCTTGTGTTACAAACATTTCTTCACTTTCGGCCCATATTACCTCATTTGGGTCAGACCCAAACACCTATTTCACCTGCATGTACCTACCTTATGCACTTTCCAAGCTCGTTTTAGTCACGATATTGTGACATATTGTTGGTTTAAAGAGTTGTGTTCAAGGTGGAAATTTAAATGTGTTGGTAAGTATTTGTGAAGTAATGTATGTCGTGTACACACTAATATCCTCGTCACAGCTTCACCCTACCTGCCCATGCCAAGTTGATCCTATGTCCTTTCACGTAGTGCAAGAAACTATCAAATAGACATCCATACAAAGTGTAGTATTTTATCTGGTACTTGTTAATACCCTTGGTTTAACAAACAACACATTTACATCATGAATATAAGAACAGAGTGTAATAAGATGTTACAATACTGTATTACATCAAAGAAACAACTGAGTGAAACATAAAATGTGTATAATAATACTACACATGATGAGTGAGTTAGAAATTTAACATCAGCATTATTCCGGCCACATCGCAATGAGAACAAATCCTGGAATAAAGAGAAGTTATATGTAAATGCAGTCTGTTAAACCTAATTTAGTATGGCAATGATACTCTGATAAAAAGGGCACATGTCAATTTTGAGTGAAATTTTAATGGGCGTTATAAGATACACAAGCGTACATTACCGAAATACACACAGTCCACTATCTACTCATCCCGCTGCATCTGGCCGGGGTCGGTGTATGAACTTAATGAGAGCCAATCAGTGAGGGTTGGAAGGCTACAACATGTAACATGGCCGAGACTGTTTCATGGTCGACATATGGAGGATAATTCCAAATTTGATGCATAAGTGACCAAAATGATGTCTGATGCAATTGTCAACTTTGACTTCTACCATATGTTCCGGTCTTTTCAAGATGAACAAATGACTTGCCTTTGCATGTGTTTGTGATGAATGTCACAGTTTTCTTAAATTGATATATTTTCCCTAAACAAACCTCAAAATGAATAAAGACCCATTTTTCAGGTATATATATTTTTTATTTTTCAAAAGCCATAAAAACTGTTTGAGAAACAGCAAAAAGATTGGTTACATAAAAACCCCTTCTTGAGGCCTAATTGTATGATTCAACACCTATTTACATACAATGTGGATAATATTCTATAACTACAATGGCCCAGTGTCTTCTATGTTATCAGTTCAACTCATGCATAACAGGCTGGGGCATTTGATAGTTTCTTCCATGGGTGTTTGTTTGCAGTAAAAACACAAATGTAGAGGAAGCAGTAGATCATACTCTTTTATCTCATAAACAAATACATTATCATATTCAACAGATTATGAAAAGGTGTCCATATTGACTCTGTGGAATTTATTACTGAACAGTTTTGGTGTGAGCCTGATAATTGATCATCAACACCACCACCAATATTGCCATCCTTGGGGATCATCATGATCAATTAATTCATTATTCTTCATCATTATAATCATCTTACATGTTTATATTCATCCTCATCATCATCATCCTTATCATCATCATGAATTTGCATAAGGATCATTATCATAATAATTTTCATCATAATTGCCATCATGAATGATTATTCTTCATAATAATCATTATTTCAAATCTATAATCCTCACCAGTATCCATTCTTACTGTTCTTGTACAGTTCCAACTGACAAAATATTTCTGTCTTGGAAACATCAAAGTAGCAGTTATATTTGATACTTTCTAAAAATCAGACGTCCAAAATCATTCTTAAACAATGGAACTAACCTCGGACATGTGCTCGGCTGTTGCCAGCCGTTACACTTTCTCTTCTTACATTCAAAGATCATCTTTCCTCCAAACTGTTTTAACAAACAATATTCTTTCCTTCTGTTTATTCGCATGTGTTCGTATCCATGGCGATGGAAAAAGAGCATTTTTTTACAATGCAGGTGTTTGCAGTTAAAATTACCCTCACTCACAATTATTTCACCCCAGACCATAAAAATACCAATGTCAAAAACAACTACATAGCACTATTATACATCACGTCTACTTGAAATTACACACAGAAAAGCCTTGAAAGGACATGACATAAACTTGAATATCAAACGTAAAAATTCTCCGAAAGCACTTTCAAACCCTTGAAAAGGAACATAACAAAATAAGCATATATGAATCAAGCTTATATGAAATAAATGCTTCACAGACCATTTATTTAACAATGGTTTAAAGAACCATCAACATTTTGAAATCATTAACAATAATGTTGACACAAATATTCTTGAAATTACCAAAACAAAACCCATGTCTGTCCATGCTGTGCTCCAGGCCATCTCGCTCCAGGAATTTCTTCACCTCGTGACATAACACAGATTTTTATATTTCAACTGTTAGCCTGCAGACCTATTCTAATTGTTCACATACCCCAGCTGAGGAAGCAAGCTTATTGCAGCAACACATCGCGTGCTCCGATGGCTATGTTAGATAAAATCGTGTGTCTACAAATATATTAACTAATATCAAACACATATCCAGCTTATTCATTTAAACTTTTTATACTTCTTAGCATATGCTGAGGTACTGACTTGGTCATACCATCTTCATGTTGTTTCAAACATTTTTAAAGCAATATTCATGTTTAGTTATACAGTTAGAAAAAATCATTAAAAAAACAAAACAAGTAAATTTCTAGTTTTTACCAGTAACATGTCACTATAACATGAAAGTCTGCTTATTTCAAATACCTAACGTCCTAACATGTCAGCTTATCTCCACGTGTCATTCATGACGTATCCAGGAAACTAAAGCAGGTACAATAGCCACACAATCAGCAGCCACAAATTATAATTCAAAAGTTTTATGACCACTAGAAAATATTTGTCAGATTTTTTTCAATTGACTTCCACACGATTAAGGACCATTACCATTTTTTATCACATAAATTGTTTTTCCTTTTGCACAGGCTCACTGAGAAATATCCCTGAATTGACCAGGCTGAATTTATGTTTTGATGTTTCAAGTTTTGGTCCTTTGATCACAGAAAAACTAATATACTTTGATGTGGATACACATTGAAAAAAATACAACATATTTGCCAAGGAAGTTCTTTTTATTGTTTAAAACCGCCATGAAATACGTGGGATTCAGCTAAAAACAAGTGCTAAAACATGTGTTATAACTAGTTGTCCAGCATAACTCATATGCCCTTCAGATATCTGTCTCTGTAGTATGAAAATATCTGTTTGTTTTCAAGTAACCTACTCATTATTGCAAAAAGTTTCTTAATAACATATTCCTGAAAACTGCTTCCATTCTACATCAATCGTGATGTGTGTTTGCCAGTCATTCATCACCAGTAAACCAATCTGTTAAACTTTTTCCCCCAACTACAGCTCTCTGTTCAACTTCATGTCTCCTTCCCTCAAAACATCCCCACTGTTGGACAGCAAAGTTACACCAATCCGTCATGAAGAATAATGAATGAGTGAGGAGGATTATCCAGCACTTTCAGCCATATTCCAGCCAATGATGGCAGCGGGGACTCCAAGTGAGGGCTCCACACATTGTAGCCAGAACGTATTGTACAAGACGCCTCACAGGGCATCTGGCACATTTCTACAATACATTATACAGCTTACATAGACAAGATATATATACATACACATATATGAATACACACGCATACATTTATATGAAATATGATAAGAATACTCGTTTTACAAAGGGCAAAGACACATTTTCATTCCTTACAGAGAACATTTCATATATCATTTTTGCAATTGGGCTTGCACATTCTGTTTAAGGGTTCATAATTGATTTTAGAAGGGCTATATTGTCATTTAAATGCAGTTCATGGATTTCTACCTGAGATAAGATAAGATAACACAAGATAATATTTATTGCAGAAAAAAATTCCATTCCGGAACAGATGCAATATTTAAATCACAAAACGTTATGATGCATACACAGACAAATACCTGATTATGAATATCACAGATTTGATGATATTATACATAAACTGTCACAGGTTGATTAAGATCAACAGGTATTTATTGCTTGAAATTATACATATGGAAACATATGCAATTGATGTTGATGGCTTCATTATTTGAGAGCTAGGCTGTAGCGAAATAATTTGTTTTCATGATTTTGGACACTTACATTTTATGTGGATAATTCTCAAAGACTATATTTCTTTCTGAGTGTGCTTGGTACCTATACTACTACAGTGATGGAGGTTGTGTTTTTCATCATCAGTGGGGGTAATTAAATCTAAGTCTTCTGCGGGGAGAATGCTTTGACCAAAAGGCTACCCCACAACCCCACCATCCCTATAACAAATATATCCAATACAGCCCAGGCAAGTCTATAATGTTTGGCAAGTCTAGATTACTGCAGTATCTGAAAATGAAGAAAGTCTCTGGGCTGCTTTTTACTTTATTTTATTAAGATACTTTAACAACTGTATTTTCTCTGCAAAATATCTTTATTTCAGAGACTAGATGTTCATCAACCAACACCCCTCAAAGTGAATAAACTGTGGCGGATATTGGGAGCACTACAATATCAACATCAAACTTCACTGACAGATCAAGAGATAGATCCGCTAGTGACATGATCCCAACATCGATCTTCATTGACTGATCCCCCAAAGGTTCGCCAAATTGAACTTCAGTCACCAAACACTGACCCAAAACCATCCAAAACAATCCTGGACATAAAAAAAATCCCCATTCC